GGTTATGATAGTTTAGTTATAATGTAAATACAATAAAAATTAAACCAACATTTAGAATAATTATCATTTTGATCCATACATTGGTAATGTGTGACGGCCTCGTGTCACTTAATGTTCAACAAACTGGGCCCCGAGGTCAAGAAGGTTAAGAACGCCTGTTATAGTAAATGGCWAAGAATTGTGAGAAGGTAAGAAAACAACTATTTCTTCACTAAACCAACAAAAACAGCAAAAACAGGTTAATGGTAAGTTGTCTTTTAACACATTTTATGCAGTTCGAAGAGGTGGTAAAGGATGAGAAAAAGAGATTTACTAGTTAAAGCAGAGCTGCCCAAAGTGAGGCCTTTACATTTACAATTTGTTTTGGGCCTTCTATTTATTCTATTACAAAAATATATATACATATATTTAACATTTGAAAAAGGAATAAAAGTTCAGTCAGACTCAGCTGGTAGAGCACCAGGTGCAGTTATAAATTAATTAATTATTGCTGCTATAAGATGTACACTGAGTTGTTTTACAGTGAAAAGCTTCAGTGTAGAGCCCTGCCTTATTTCTTAGGTGTGCATAGAAATACTCCTACATTACATACATTTTTATTGGTATTTGTACTTTACAGAACCTGCGAGGGGACACAGGACATTTTTTTTCTTTTTGCGTTCCCACGCAATAGTATTGTGTTACCTCGCAACACCTTTTGCGTTCCCTCGCAAAAGTCGTTTATCACTGTTGTGTGCCGGTTTATTAACAAACTCACATGTTCACCATTGATAATTAAATTAAAGCCCACTGCTTTAATTCAGCTTCAGAATGAATGTATCACACAGACACACATGGAAGTATGTCATAGGTTGATATTTTAACACAGTGCAGCCACGCAACATCAATGTCAATGTAACAAACTTGTGGCGACACATCCTGTTTTGGTAACTGGATATTTCAAAATAAAAGTCTGATTTAATTCAGTTCATATACAAATCAAACTTTTGTGTGGGAACACAAAACAATATTGCGAAGTAACRCAAARGTATTGCGAGGTAACGCAAAAGTATTGCGAGGTAACGCAAAACAATATTGCGAAGTAACGCAAAACAATATTGCGAAGTAACGCAAAACAATATTGCGAAGTAAC